AAGTCCCTAAGATTGGCATCGTGATGAGGAGGTGCCTAGCCTAGGGGTAGGGATATGTTCCAGGCAATAATTCGAGCGAGGAGAGGCCGGGAATCTCTGAGATCCGACGGCTCTGGAGGATGTCTCTCGGGCACCGCGGCCTCCTCAGAGAGTCCCCGAGCGCTCCGGGAACGCCCTGGAACGCCCTGGAATGGATTCATGCTCGTCCTGGCCCCGACCAATTCCCACCTGCCTCCCCTCGTCCCCAGCCCCCCTTTACGCCCCCAGCCCCCCTTTCCTGAGGCCTCTCGGCTCTGTCGGCGGTGGTCATACCTCCCTTTAGTAGACCTCCCCTTAGTGCAAACGACCTGGGACCGAAACCGACGGGCCTGGACCCGCCAAAATGACGGCCGCGACGCCCTGTCGCGGACCGAACACGGCCAATTCCTTACTCGACGTGTCAGGGCAGGAGGTCGATCCACCTCCCCCTCTGGCCAGATCCAAACGGGTCAAGATCGGCCCCTCGGGCCATCGCTCGGACGTCCATTCCCTGTGTTTTTTTTGGTTTCGTGCGTGGTTTCTCCGCCAGATGATCTAGGATGCTCCTCGATGGTCCTCGCCAAAGGAAAAATGCACACGTCCGAGCGATGCCGAGCCCCTGGGAGGGGTGTCCGGAAGGGCCGATCCCGGGGGGGGCAACTCTTCTTGGTGCCCTGGGAGGCGGGCGCTCGCCGCAGGGGGCCCTCCATGTATGGGCCCTCCTCCGAGGAGGACAGGGCCCGGAGGAGGCGAGAGGAATGCCACGCTCGCGCGGCGTGGGCGCGCGCAGAGTGGAGCATTCGACGACGGACCCCTCGCGTCAGGAGCGACCCGGAGGACGTGCACATCCAGCCGTCTTCTGGCCGTCGCTCGCAAGGATGTTCCTCGATGGCCCTCGCCGAGGAAAAAACGCACACGTCCGAGCGATGCCAAGTCTTCGAAAGTGCGCAACGCTCGCTCGCATCGCAGCACGAGGCTGGTCTCGCGGACCGGGGGGGGTCGCAGTCCTGTGCGTGGTGCGGTGCGTACGTCCTTTGTGGGCTCCCGACTGTTACCCACCAGCCCTGGGCGGCCTCCGGCGGTCTTCGGCGGCCTTCAGGCGGCATTCGGCGGTCTCCTCGGTTTCTGGAGGTTTTCGGCGAAAGCGCTGGATGGTTGCGGATAACAGAGGGTTTATAAAAGAACACCGAACGAACAGGTTTTTGGCAACGCGTCGATCGTTCAACCTTGAATCGATCGCGGCCCCGATAATTCAAGGCTAAATTCCATCATATCCCGTGGTGTTACCGTGCCCCTCGGTGCTTCCGCGTCGATCTCTGTCGTGCGGAATTCAACCTTGGACGCCTTTGACGGCGACGCTGGCGGCGCGCCATCACCGCACGAACATACCGTAAGCACGTGTAGAGCCCACCCGATTCTAATCGTTCCTCTGGGGAACGGAAACCGCAAAAAAAGTTGTTTGCCGCTGGGGCATGTTTTGGAGAGAACGCTGTAATAATCCCGATTACGACGACGCCCACGAGGAGGCCTGCAACTCAATCTTTCGAGTATCGGCCGGGACTGTGCTGCGCAACGGGTCCCCAGAGGCATGTCTGAATGACCATCCCACACTAGATTTCGGCATGGTTTACACATTTTGGTGAAAGGTGCCTGCGGATTCCGGCAAGTTTACTTGCATGGGGGGGGGCGTGGCGAGGCCCAAAAGGAGACCTGGACTTCACGCAAGTCTGGACACACTTGCACGCCGTTTCGGCCCAGCGCTGCTTGTAAAGGCGTCGGGCGGAGGAGGGGGGAAATGCAATGCAAACATAATTTCTTGAACCTCAGTAAGAACAGCTCCTTGTTGGACCCTCGGATCCCGGTGTCGCATTTTTTGCTCACGCTGGCCACTCTCGCCGTCTCGGGCAACCCGCGGGGTCCTCGCGACCCAGCCAAACGAAAAAAAAGCCGGAGAACGTTGGGGGCGAGGGCTTCTGTCGTAACTCATCACGCTGCTCCACTTGTTTGATGACGCCGGGCCTCAGGGATAACACCGACCCTGGCCAAGCCCCATCCTCGGCACATGTTCGGCGTATGACTACGCGCGCACCCTTCTGGCCTGACCAGGGCAGTACGCACAACAGCCAAGGTCCCAGGACTGGCAGTGCCAGGAGCGGTGCGGCTGTAATCATGGCTGGCGCCCTCCGAAGATGGCAGCCGCGCGAGTCCTCGAACTGGGCGTACTCGAAGCTGACCGCTCGCCGGCCAGCAGCCTCCTCCAGCACGTACTGCGGGTTCCGGCGCCAGTCGAAGAGGAAGCCACAGGACAGACAGGAGGACAACCCACATACAGACGTGGACCCTCGGAGCTCCGCACGGAGTTGTTCCTGTGGCGCTGGGCCCTCCTCGCGCCTCTCTCCTGGCGCGTGGAGCACGCCCGGGGAAGGCACCAGAGACGCCACTCGGGAACGCGGGGGTGCCCAGCCCTCCGACATCGCAAAAGGGCCCGAAAACAACTACAGTCGGGGCCTTGACCTAAGGAACCCAAAAGAAGGAACGAGGCCCCTTATTTCCATAAGCTAAACTTCGATTTCCGAACGAAAACATAAGGAAAACCTGAGGCAAGCTGCGAAACACCTAAGGAACGCGGAGCCCCTCCGCAACGAAAAGGGTTCCTTCTTCAGGGCCCCGACTGTAAGGCCCTCCCGTTGTGGCCTCTCTCACGACGCGACGGGGGTAACACTCTGCCCCTGGACCTCTCCTAGGGGCGCGGCGAACTCGGGCCCGGACTCGGTCTTCGTGTCTTGCACCGCGGGAGTTGCTGCAAGGCGGGCTAGCAAAAGTATCGCGCTGCTCCAGAGCGAGGAGGGGGAGGGAGGGAGAGGGACACTGGCCGGCCGCTCAGGGGCCCGGAATCGGATACAGTCAGGGCGTTGACCTAAGGAACCCTCAATAAGGAACGAGGCCCCTTTTTTCCATTAGTTAAACTTCGATTTCCGATCGAAAGACGAAGGAAAACCTTGGGCAAGCTGGGAAACACTCAAGGAACACCCCGCCCCTCCCCAACGAAAAGGGTTCCTTCTTCAGGGCCCCGACGGTACACTGAAGCCCCCAACAGGCCCGAAAACGCGTCGATCTTCCGAGTTCGAGAAGGGGGCTTCTGGCTCTCGGTCGGGCGCCGGGCCCAAGGACACAGCCGCTCGACGGCCTCCGACGGTCCGTGCCTCCTCTGCGGCTGCCCCCTCGGCCTCCGCAGTGCGAGCCCCCCCCCGCGCGGCAGAGGAGCGAGAGCCCAGAAGCGAATCGATTAGCCAGACCGGCGAAGGGCATGAACGGGATCGGCGGAAATCGGCAGCCGAGTCGGGGGACAAGCCGAATCGGCGGAAATCGGCAGGCCAGTACGCCTCCAGTAAGGAATCGGAGCCCAACATCGGAACCCGAAGCCGAATCGCATCGGAATCGGAAGCCATCGAAATCGCATCGAATCGGGAGAATCGAAACGAACCCTGTTGATGCCGAAGGACAACGCACTGTGCGGCCTCGTCGGCAAACGCCGCTGCGCGGTACTCGCCGCGCGGAGGGCACTGCGGAGGCCCATAGCCCCGACGTCGCGATTGCTTCGTGACGTGGACGTGGACGGCCCTTTCCCCGTGGCCCGGTTTTCGTCCAGGGCCCTGTTTTGACGGTCCGGGGGCCTGGCGAGGAACCCTGGAGGGGCCGCAAGTGAACAGAGAGCCTCCCGTCGTGATTTGGGACAGGATGCGTAGGGGGCCTGGCTGTGCAATTGGAGGACTGTGGAAGGACTGAACACGGGTACACCGACCGAGAATCAAGAAACGCCGTCTCGATCTTGGTCAAAGTTAATTTAAGTTGATTTTAGTCAACGGACATTCGCGCATCAGTCTCGCGAGTCAGCGACGGCCGACATGGACCGTAACTTAAGTCGGCATGGACAAGATCCCGCGACATTTTGGTCATGGTCACCGCGTTTCCTCCCTCGAACAAGTAGAGGCCTCCCATATGGAATCAGAGTAGATTGGGGTCGGATGATCGCGCCACATCGCCGATACATCGCCAATGCATCGGTGACGTCGGCGCAGAGAAAACAAGAGGCTTCACATCGAGCCGCATCGGCGATGTGTCGGCGATGTGGCGCGCTCTCCGACCCCATCTGCTGCGGCCCCATATGACCGCACGAAAAACGACTCCCGCCTTCAACATGAAGAATTCTAAACTAACGGAGCCGTCAAACGACGCGTCAACTGGGAAACTGCTCGGTCAGCCAACGACAACGCCGCGCAATTCAACGCGAACGGCGCACTGCTGCAATGCTCATTGGCGATTGAACTCGGCGGTTCCTTGTGCTGACACGCGGCCAATGCCCAATGTCATTGTGGATGTTCGCGCGCTCGTGCCAAGGCAAAAAACCAAGGGCGCGTCGGCCCTCGGCGGCGCTGGCAAAAGCCCTGGACGGCGCCCGGGTCCCACCACGCACGGCCGAGAAGCGAAAAGTTTAGGTCCACCCCAAAAACAAAAATTAGGCACCAGGCGAAACAATACGCATCAAAAAACCGATATGAAATTCCCCGAAACGGAAAATATCGCGCGGGGGGCCGAACACTTTATATAAGCAAAAAATGCGTGTACATGAACGGAAAGAAACTCCCCCGGTCTATGTATTCTGTCGGCGGGGTTATGAGGGGGCGACGGATACGGGGGCGGGTGCCATCAGCTGGGACACCGGCGCTGCCGTACAAGGAACAGCGCCGCCGTTGCCTCAAACTGCATGCTGCGGCCGTGGTGCGCGCGGCCCTGGGAATGCTAGCGCAGGCGCGGCCGGGTCGAGCGGGCCCAGGACGTCGCCGCGCGCGCGGGCCCCCCCCTGCGGCGGCTGGCTATGGCCTTGCCAAGAGGGCGCCTACACTTACGAACATGCGCCTTAAATGCGGAACGCTGACATGGAAAATCCATGGTTGTGGGGGCTGGGGTCGGTTCCCCTCTGTTCACCATCTGGGAGGCTTGGAGTCTGCAGGGTTGGCCTTCCAAGATAGGATGGCCAGCAACCCGCCGTCGCCTGGCGAACCGCCCTGCCCGGCCACCTCCCACAGGGGCCCGCACAGCCTCCCGGCCAGCTCGGGCGGCAGGCCGCCAGACCGGTAGCGGGCCCGCACCTCAGCGAAGGCGGCGCCGGGGTCCTCCCCAGGGAAGCTCACCTCACGAGCCACGAGCATGGCTCGGGGGGGCGCAAGACTCGAGCCTGGAGGACTCGGGTTGGCCTGACGGGGCCGTCAGAAAAATGGGGACACAATGTGAAATTTGGCGCGACCTCGCGCTGCAGGCAGCCCACGAAAACTCTGGACCGTCAAAAACCAAGACGGGCCCGGGAAGAAGAGTCGGTAAACCCGAGATGCGGCAAACGCGAGTCTTACTTTCCTCCGAATGGTAAGGCTTCGGGTTGCGCCAAGACAAGCCACCCCAGGTAGTCCCGACTGGCCTCGTAGCAAGCTTCCCGGGCAGTCCCAGCTGCCTCAACGGGCCCCCTGAGTAGTCCGGGGAGGTCTCGACACCCTGGCGCCGCGAGGGGAGCGTGCTGAGGCCAGCTGGGACTGCCTGGGGGGCCCTCTTGAGGCCAGCCGGGACTACCTAGGGGAGCTGTCTTTGTGCAACCCGAAGCCTTACCACGAGCAGATCCATATCCAAGCGCATGGAACTCCCGTGCGGCGGGGGAAAGGCGGTGGCGCCCAGTCAGGCCGCCCCCCACCACACGGAGGTCGCCTTCGGCGCCCGGGCCCGCCGAGGGCCCCCCAGAGGGCGAAGCCAGCCCAAACCCCCCAGCCGTGCTTCTTCTTATTATTAATATTATTGATAGTATTAATATTAGTGTTACTATTATCATTATTATTATTAATATTATTAATATTAGTATGATTATTAATATTATTATTATGATTTGTCTGATTATGCTTATTATTATTAGTATTATTATTGTTACTATTATTAACAATATTATTATTATCATTATTCGTATTATTATTATTCGTCTTCTTCTTCCTCACGACGCGAGGGGGGTCGACAATCTACCCTGGGCCTCTCCCAAGGCGCGCTCTGACAAGAGGTTGGAGGCAGATCCAGCCGTGGCGAGGAGAAACCCCCGCGAGGCCAACAAAGTCATCAACCCGCAACGCTCGCAGTTTGCTGTATGCTCACACGACGCGCGGGGGGAGGGGGGGGACGCGAGGCCTCGGATGCGGATGCGTCTGCCGTCAGCGACGACGGGGAACGATAATGTTAGGTCGGGCATGTCCCCCATTCAGGCTGATGTTTGACGCAGATTGGAAAATACCCCCCAATACATTTGAAACAGCAAGAGAACAGCAACAAAACAACAACAACAACAACAACAACAGCAACACCAACAACAACAACGACGACGACGACGACAACAGCAACAACAACAACAACCACCACCACCACCACCACCACAACAACAACAACAACAACAACAACAACAGCAACAACAACAACAACAGCAGCAACAACAACAACAACAACCTTAATAATAACAACAACAACGACGACGACAACAACAACAACAACAACAACAACAACAACAACGACAACAACAGCAACAACAACAACAGCGACAACAACAACAGCAACAACAACAACAGCGACAACAACAACAAAATTAATAATAACAACAACGACGACGACAACAACAACGACAACAACAGCGACAACAACAGCATTAATAATAACAACAACAACAACAACAACAACAACAACAACAACAACAACAACGACGACGACAACAACAACGACAACAACAGCAACAACAACAACAGCGACAACAACAACAGCAACAACAACAACAGCGACAACAACAACAGCAACAACAAAAACGTTCCCTGGCCGTGTTTGACTATTTTGGAATGTTCCTCCTGTGGAGGGACACGTCCGACTTGACGTCAATGCGGGGGGGACATGCCAGAATCAGCGATGAATCACCGATGGATCGGCGATAGGCTCCCGATACGGGCTATCGGGCCCCGATCGGCGATCCATGGGCGATTGGGGGTCGATGCGTACCCCCCTGAGCCACTGCCCCCCTGAACCCTGCCCCAAAAAATAATAAAAAATTTACCAAAAATAGTCTGGGGACTATTTTTGTAATATGTTTTTACCTGTTTGGGGTATTTTTCATTTTTCGTCGAAAGTCCCCTGTAAGGGGACAGACCCGACTCAGACGTAGGTGGAAACGTAAAGCAAGAAGACGGATACAGCAGATGGGTTTCGGGACGGCCCGGAGCCTCCCCCCCAAAAAAGCCTAAAAAACACGGCGGCTCATTGAAATAGGAAGCCGCTGACGTAGACTGGGACCTGGGAGTCCAAAGTACCTCCTCTGGGGGGAGCGAAGAATGACAACATGAACATAAAAACTCCGAGGTCTGCGCGGATGCCTCGGTTCCGCGCTGGACCCCCTCTGGCGGCGCTTCCGGCGCCGCCCCTGGCGCGATCCGCGCGCCAGGGAGGGGGGTCCAGCGCCGACCCGAGAAATCCGAACGGACCTCCGAGTTCGTATGTTGATGTTATCGTTCATTCCCCTGGATGTCGGCAGAACCAACAAATGAGAAAAAAGACAAACACGAATGCTCAACGGCGCACGCGGACTTCATGGATCTGCTTGGGCGCCCGAGTTATCCAGGGTAACTCGGGCCCGGGGCAACTCGGGCTCGGATTCCCGAAAAACGAACCCGAGTTAGCCCTGACCCGAGTTGCCCCTGATGATTCGGGGCTCTGGACGCCCGAATCATCCGCGGTAACTCGGGCCCGGGGCAACTCGGGTTCGGATTCCCGAAAAACGAACCCGAGTTAGCCCTGACCCGAGTTACCCCTGATGATTCGAGGCTCTGGACGCCCGAATCATCCGGGGTAACTCGGGCCCGGGGCAACTCGGGTTCGGATTCCCGAAAAACGAACCCGAGCTAGCCCTGACCCGAGTTAGCCCTGATGATTCGGGGCTCTGATCTGCGTTCCCCCATTTGCTTCCAACGAGCGGCGTGCCACGACGTTGCCACTGGAGCGGTCACCAGAAGCAGCGTGTACTTCCCCGGCGCCCAGAGGCTCGCGCCGGCCGCGGCCACAGGCCCAGGTCTCCGAGGCCCCCCCCGCGGCCTTCTCTCCGCGCGCGGGGGGGGCGCCCCGGCACGACCTCTCGACCCCTTTCCCTCGATGCGAGGCTGGGACTCCTCCTCCTCCTCCTCCTCCTCCTCCTCCTCCTCCTCCTCCTCCTCATGAAACAATCATGACGATGGGTGTTTCGACATGTTCGGCCTCTGGGTGCCCTGACCGGGCCGCGGGACCGTCACAAAACGACTCAAGATGAAAAGCCGGTCCCGGGGAATGGGTCGAGACCCCTGGGGTTCGACGTCATGGAAATCAAAAACACACAACAACAAAAAAAAAATTGCGTCGGGGTCTGGGTAGAGGGCACAAGAACCACCGTCAAAGTAAGTCCCCCCCCCGAGCGATGCCTGGCGTAGACGCACCCAGAGAAGGGATCAAACAGGGCAGGGGTGTTTCGTAAACGCCCAGTGCTGTTGGGTAAACGCCGCCTGTGGAAGTCAGGTTGCCTCCCCCCTTGAACATGCACAACCATTCGATCTTAAGGGACCTCGGCTGGCGGTGGCTATGGACACACTTGGCCTCGCAAGGCTCGAATATGTCCATCTTTACCGCCTTCCGAAATCACCGGAGATCACTCCCCCAGGCGGTGGCCATGGATCAATCCCCACATCGGACTTGACAACTGCCGTTTTCACGCCACGGTTTCCAAAACAGCTCGTGTGAGCCAGGTGGGTGGTGCGCGCATGCACGATCCGACAGCCGCAACTCATGGTTTCTTGGCCGCCAAGCAGCTGCCAGATCGCTCCATGACACCGACGATACCACCCCAACGGCTTAAAATGAACCCAAAAATGCCTTAGGACCTCCATACGTGCACCCGCGAGGGCCTCCCAGATCAAACGTCCGTTGATGATCGATTATTGTCGAATGACTCCAGAGAGGCTTCCAACAGTCCTCCAGAAACCCCCCCGAAAGCATCCAAGAGGATCCCAAGACTCCCACAAGAGACCGCCCTCGCGACCCAACATGACCAGCCACGACGAAAACTGAGATACAAGGGGTCGGCGGATGTGGCGCAAGCCTAACGAATCGCAAAAAAGAGCCTGGGCTCTTGTATACACTGGCACGCCTGGGCTCTTGCATTCAGGAGAGACCACACGTACCACTACCACCAGCTACGGGGGTGGCCGCTCCCTCCCCCTCGAGCTGGTGGCACCTCCTTCTGGGCACTCTCTGGAAGCGTGACGGGGACGAGGTGCCACCAGCTCGAGAGGGAGGAAGCGGCCACCCCTAGCTGGTGTCAGTGGTACTCCTCGTCTCTGGTGATGCATCGGTGCCCGACACTCCTCGGACCCGCAGGGGGGCGTCGGAGACGTCGAAGAAGCGAGAAAAGCCTGGCGCCTTGTATACACTGGCACACCTGGGGAGAACCAAAAGGTCTCCGAGGAGGCCCGAAAAAAAGATGAAAACGAGGAAGGGTAGAAATATGGGTACCTTTTCCTCCTCTGAGGTGCCCGACCCTCCTCGGAGCACTGGCTGGGCTGGGCCCCACTGGCCGATTTGCCCCCTTGGATGGGGATCTAGCTCTCTTCGGGTTCCGAGGGGCACATCCCCAACTGATGTGGGGAGACGGTGGGGCTCGAGATGTGGATGGGGATGGGGATGGGGATCAGGTCGGGCCTGTCCCCCTACAGGGGGATTTTGGACGAAAAGTAAAAGATACGCCAAAAATACTCCAAATACCCCAAAGAATCCCCAAATCTGCCCCAGACGATTTGTTAAGCTATCTTTGAACATTCCCCCCCCCCTGGAGTAGAGGGGACAGGCCCGAATTTGAGGATGGGGATCGGTCCCACGAGACGGAGCACCGGTGCACCGGTGCCCCGGTGCCCGGTGCACCGGTGCACTGGTGCCCACGGAACTCGACACGGAGCACCGGTGCACCGGTGCCCGACCCTCCTGCGTGGGGCGGCGTCGGAGGCCCAGGGGCGAGGAGCGCCGCCGCCGCGCCGCAGAGCCCCCGGGACGGCCTGCCGGGCGCCTCCGCTGCCCGCTCCCGCCCCGTGCGCTCGGCGCCGCGCTCCGGGGAGGAGGGGGGAGGAGGAGGAGGAGGAGGAGGAGGAGGAGGAGGAGGAGGAGGAGGAGGAGGAGGAGGAGGAGGAGGAGGAGGGGGAGGGAGGAGGAGGGGGAGGGAGGAGGAGGAGGAGGAGAGGAGGAGGGAGGAGGAGGGAGGGAGGAGGAGGAAGGCGGAGGAGGAAGGAGGCCTCAGCAACTCGCCGCGGATCGGGGAGAGGGGGGGAGAGTTGTCGGGGGCAACTATAGGGGGGGGGGACTGGCATAGGGGGGATGCATCGACCCCCAATCGCCCTTTGATCGCCGCTAGGAGCCCGATAGCCCCAACCTGCATGTTTTTTCGTCGGCGGCGAGGCAGAGGCAATCCGCAACAGCAAAAAAGCAAAGCATGCCAGTCCCCCCTTATCGTTGCCCCTGAAGCGTTGGGAGGAGCCCGAAGTGCAACTTACACTTCGGGCTCCCTGTCCTCGCAACTTCCAATGAAACGAACCCGGAAGTACCCTCGTCCTGGCTTCGTCTTGCCGAGACGAAGCCAGGACGAGGATGAAGTTGGATGAGGGTACATCGAGAATCTCAGAGGTCCGGCGGTCCTGAAGGATGTCTCGGGCGCCGCGGCCTTCTCAAAGCGCTCTGGAACGCTCCGGGTTCGTTCCGGGACACTCTGGAACGGACATATTTTCGTCCTAGCCCCGTCCGAGAGCCCGAAATATGCACCAAGTGGTCTGGTCGGCCAAGGGGCTCGGCGCATATTAGGAGGTAAGCCTCGACCCTCTGGGCCATTGGGCCGGTTCAGCCGAGACCGATTCATCCGCAGGAAGCGGGATGAGGCCAGATTGAACGGGAGGCTGCCACATGAGACATGTTTTTGATCACGCATGTGCCAGCGCCGATGCTGCATTCCACCCCACAGGAGTTGCATCCCGATGTGCAGACGCCCCAGCCTCGCCACCTGTGGGATGCTGGCGAGCCCATGCACTGTCGAAATATATATAATATATATATATATATATATGTATATATATATATAGAGAGAGAGATGTATTCCACTTCTTATATTTTTACAAGCCCAGGGGAGGGGGGGGGGGGGAAAACAGTCCCCCCCCAAAAAAAAAAACTTGACCCCCGGGATCTGGGGTTCTCGGGCTCCCTTGGACGTCCTTGGAAAAGGTCACCCGGCTTTCCGGGTCTCCACAAACGCCTTGCCAGCAGACCCAGAGCGATCCGAGGGGTCATCAGAAAGGCACAAGGGAGGCCCCAGACAGCACAAGAGCGCTCCAAGAGGGACTCCAATTGCGTCAGGACGGCCCACAAGACCCCCAGGGCACCCCAAAAACCGTTCCAAGGGGCCTTCAAAGCACAAACATCGTCCCATTCCCTTCGTAAAACTTACAAGTTTAGCAGATTCGCCTTTCGGATGTCATCAGCTTTCAAGACGGTTTCAAAGCCCCCGAGATCGCCTGCAGACGCCCCAAAAGGCCCCAAAGAAAACTTCAAGACGGCCGAGCCGGGCCCCACGATCGCCCACGAGAGCCCCAAGATAGCCCATAATGGAACCAAGAGACCCGAAATTCCCAAGATGAGTCCGAAGGGGACCACAGTGGGCCCAAGCTCCCCAAGACGGCCCAAGAAGGCCCCAGGACGGCCCATGAAGGCGCCAAAACCGCCCACGAGGGCCCCGAAAACACCCCCACGATGTTTCCGAATGCCAACATAAAGACCCCCAAGGCACCCCAAAAAGCTTTCCAAGGGGCCTTTCAAAAAACAAAAATCGTCCCATTCCTTCCGGAAAACTCACAAGTTTAGCATTTCCGCCTTTCGGATGTCATCAGCTTTCAAGACGGTTTCAAAGCCCCCGAGATCGCCTCAAGACGCTCCAAAAGGCCCCCAAGAAAGCTTCAAGACGGCCGAGCCGGGCCCCACGATCGCCCACGAGAGCCCCAAGACAGCCCATAATGGAACCAAGAGGCCCCCCAAGGGCTCCCAGCACAGACCCAAAAGGGCCATGGGAGGTCCCCGGAAGTGCCCAAGATGGGTCCAAAGGGGGCTCCAGCGGGCCCAAGCTCCCCAAGACGGCCCAAGAAGGCCCCAGGACGGCCCATGAAGGCGCCAAAACGGCCCACGAGGGCCCCGAAAACACCCCCACGATGTTTCCGAATGCCAACATAAAGACCCCCAAGGTACCCCAAAAAGCTTTCCAAGGGGCCTTTCAAAAAACAAAAATCGTCCCATTCCCTCCGAAAAAACTCACAAGTTTAGCATTTTCGCCTTTCGGATGTCATCAGCTTTCAAGACGGTTTCAAAGCCCCCGAGATCGCTTCAAGACGCTCCAAAAGGTCCCCAAGAAAGCTTCAAAACGGCCGAGCCAGGCCCCACGATCGCCCACGAGAGCCCCAAGACAGCCCATAATGGAACCAAGAGGCCCCCCAAGGGCTCCCAGCACAGACCCAAAAGGGCCATGGGAGGTTCCCGGAAGTGCACAAGATGGGTCCAAAGGGGGCTCCAGCGGGCCCAAGCTCCCCAAGACGGCCCAAGAAGGCCCCAGGACGGCCCATGAAGGCGCCAAAACGGCCCACGAGGGCCCCGAACACACCCCCAAGATGTTTCCGAATGCCAACATTCATTGATTTTGCTCCCATGACATTTCACACTGTGACCCAGTCGTTGAGGGTCTCGTGGCATGCAGCGAAGATGCCCGAGGATGCCCCGTACGAGTTGCATATGCATGTTCATACCCTGACACACATAAATTTGTATGTACATATGTACGCTGTATACACACATACAAGAATGTAAGTATATTTATACACCTAGACATTTATACGGAACGTGCATGCACGTGCGCGTGTATACATGCATGCGCGCATGTACGCACGCACGCATTCCGCTTGCGTGCAGAACTCAAAGGACCAAGGTGCATGGCGCGCAGCGCCAATGCAGTCTTGTGTGTATATGTGTATCTATATATATATATATATATGTATACATCTGATAGAGAGAGAGGGAGAGAGTCCCTCCTGCGAGCCCTCGACATCCACCTGGCGCCACTTCCGCGCGGCACGTGCCGCGCAGCGGCGGCCGCCGCCGAGGCCGCAGCGGCGGCCTCCGCCGCGGCCGCGCTGCGACGGCGGCTGCCGCCGCGCGCGAGGACTGGGAGGTGGATGTCGAGGCACGAAGGGTTGATGGGCCCACGTTCCACCACCACCACCAGCTGTAGGAGAGCGAGGAGGAGGAGGAGGAGGAGGAGGAGGAGGTGGAGTGAGGAGGAGTGAGGAGGAGGAGGAGGAGGAGGAGGAGGAGAAGGAGGAGAGCGAGGAGGAGGAGGAAGAGGAGGAGTGAGGAGGAGGAGTGAGGAGGAGGAGGAGGAGGAGGAGGAGGAGGACCTCCTCATCTTCCCTCCTCCCCCCGCCTACACGTGGTGGCGGTGGTGGGACGCTTGCCCATCAAGGGGTGGCCTTCGCCCCTTCTCCCCGTGCGCGCCGCCCGGTCTGCCCCGATCGGCGCCGGCCCGGGCCCGCGGCGGTGCGCGGCGGCGGTGCGGCCGCGCCGCCGCGGCCTTTCGCAGCGGGCGCCTCGGCGGCCATCGTTGGGGCGCGAGCCGAGGGCAGAAGAAGAGGCCTCGAGCTCATCCCTGCATTTTGAAAGCCCAGGGTTCGCTAGGGACTGGCTTCCCCTCAAACGACAAAAACCTTTCAAAAACCCTTGCAGTTTGAAAGCCCAGGGTTCGCTAGGGACTGGCTGCCCCTCAAGCGACAGAGACCTTTCAAAAACCCTTCCGGAACCCTCCGAAAGCCTCCGGGAACCCTTCGCGGAGGGTTTTCGGAAGGGCTTCGGCTGTTTTGAAAGGAAACCAGCCCCTAGCGAACCCTGGACTTTCTAACCCTGTACCTATGATTGGCATGCCCAGAGGCGATGACAGTCTTGGGGATGCGCCCTCAGAAACTGAGAGCATCCTGGAGATCGGCCTCGAGATTGGGTGAAGCCAGCCACAGGGAATGGTTGGATATGTTCAGGCTGGTGAACAAGGGCATCCGATAACAACTGAACCCACCACACTAACACGAACTTTCGGAACGCCGCGCGGGCATCTTGGATCGGCGCTGTCTGGATCCTGGCGCGCGATCGCGGTCGCATGGATGTGAGAAGGCGAAAACCCACCCCCACCCCCAGTCCCGATTCCATCGCCGAACCCGCGATTCAAGGAGTCGGGACTGGGGGTGGGAGTGGGTTTTCGGGGTCCAGGACTGGAGAAAACCCACCCCCACCCCCAGTCCCGGCCCCTTGAGTCGCCGGCTCGGGGGATGGGCGTTGGGACTGGGGGTGGGGGTGGGTTTTCGCCTTCGGAGGATGCACTCCGCGCGGGGCATCCTGGAAGAACGCTCCGCAGCCACGGGGTCGCCGCCCAGGGTCCCGGGCCGCGAGGCCGTGGGCACGGCTAGGTGGTCCGCCGTGAACTGGCCATCGCTCGGACGTCCATTCCCTGTGCTTCTTTCGGTTTCGTGCGTGGATTTTTCGCCGAATGATCAAGGATGCTCCTCGATGGTCCTCGCCGACGGAAAAATGCACACGTCCGAGCGATGCCAAGAGAAAAAGGGTAGGGGTGTCCAAGGCCGATCCACAGAATCCGCGCAGGAGCTCCGAAGTTTGTACTCGTGCCGTTCCTGTTGCACTCTGCGGCTCCTGCTTCGACGAAGAATCTGCCGTGGACAAACCTCCCTTTCGGACCGAAACGCACGGACCTGGACCCGCAAACAGGACGGCCGCGACGCCCTCTCGCGAACCGAAAACGGCCAGTTCGCTAATCGACGTGTTAGGGGTCGGTCGGGCATGTCCTGCTGCAGGCGGCTTTTGGAGGAGACATACAGAATAGTCAAAAAAGTACACCCCACAATGGCCAAACAGATTCAAGAAGTCGTGCCCAGACTCCCCCATGTGGAGGGACGGGCCCGACTGCACGTCGGGGCGGGAGGTCGGCCAGCCTCCGCGAGCAGCCGGCGGGAGCCCCCCGCGGGCGCAGGCGGGCGCCGCAGCCGGGCCCCGGAGCCGAAAAAGAGACGGCCGCGCGCGGGTCGGGCGCGGCGCGGGCGGGGGGCTCCCCGGACGCCGGCCCGATCGTTCGGCTGCCGACGGGCAGGGACCCACAGGGCAGTTGTTAATACATAGGAGATTTGAACATGTAGGATTTTGAATACATGATTAATGTGTGAATAAATTTCTGCATGGACTCATCGTTGCTTTTAATACTAAATTCCCGCATGTTTAATACACGATCCGCACGCGGAGCATGTATTGAAAACGGCACTGTAGACGGTGCTTTTCGTTTTCGCTTCGTCCTCGTTTTCGCTTCGTTCTCGTTTTCGTTTTCGCCGCTGGACCTGAACGGCGCTTTTCGTTTTCGCTTCGTTCTCGGTTCCCCTCGCCGTTGCCTCGAGCCCGCCTCTGTGCCGCAAGAATAAGGAGGCCGAGACCACGACGGCCCACGAGACCGCCCAGGGCACCGTCTAGGTCCAGCCCCGAGGGACAGGACGGGGAGGCGAGGACGGGAGGACGCCGCCTTGGCGCACGCAGTGGTCCTGGCCGTGCCCACCCTGAGGAGGAACCACAAGGTACTCGAGATTTCGTAATAAAAGGGAGGGGGTCTGGACCCTCCAGGACAAGCTATTTCAGACCCCCCCCCCGTGGGAGAACCCTCCAAAACGTCGTCCCCAGACCCCCCCATGCCCTCCAAGATATCCTGGAAGAGACCCCCCCCGAAATGAGACCCCCCTCCCTTTATTACGAAACCTGGAGTACCGAGGCCGCTACTCCCCGGGCCTCTCCCGGGGAGCGTTCTGGCCAGCGCTTCGAGGCGAATCCGGCGGTGGCGACGAGGGCTGCCCAACAGGCCCCAAAAGGGGGAAAGCGAGGGCAGGGGAGAGGTCTGGGTGCCTTGTTCTCCTCTGACACCCGGTGCCCGGGATCGAAGAAGCATGCGAAAACGCCCTGCGCATAGAAAAACGCAGCGCCCAAAGCTCAGGGGAGGCAGGAGGCGGCGGGGGGAGGCCCACGCCGTGCTGCTGCGAAGGGGCCCCCGAGCGCAAAGTGCCGTCGGCATCCGGCCGGAGCGTTCCCAGAGACAAGGCACCTTTTCAGCTCCGACTTGCCAGAAGTGCTGATGCGACACGGGCACCAGAACCTGTGAATTGACACCATGGTCAACGCTTGTAGGTTTTCTTGCCGTCCTGTCGACGAGATTGACGTGGGGCCTGAGAATCGTGCAGTGAAGGCTGTCTTTCTGGCTCGCTGGGGGCGCTCGCGACCACGTATGCATCGCCAAAGCCCGCTTGGAGAGCCAGATCCGGGCAAGAGGGTAAAGCATCACGGTTTGGAGGCTATCGCAGGGCGTGCTGGGTCTACGGGAGGATCGGATCTGCACCGTGCGGAAAGCACGCTGACACGCCCGGGAAGATGAAGTCATCCGACAACCTTGCTGAGAAAGACAACAGACCAAGGACACATCAGAGAGGACAAAAGCTGATTGTCCGAAGACATCGGAGACCGATGCGGCAATACTGCGACAAACGTGCGGACAAAAAACGTCTGGTGAGTTTCGAAGGCCTGCAAGCGCAGCCAGATGTTCACGTGTTCACGTCGATGCCAACTAAACGCTGCCGCATAGACGGCAAGGTATCAAAGCATCTTTGGAAGACGTCCCCGGTACTAGCTGTGTGCGCAGACAGGCGCAATGGAAGCGCAAATTCTGCCGGACAACTTGTCTCCTTTCTCACTTGACGACCAGAGGCAAATGAGACGACCAGAGTAGTGCAACTTTGGAGAAGAATCGATGTGGTGGAACTCTCCTGCCCGACTTCTGTCTGAAGGACTCAACTCATTGCAAGCCTCTGGGGCCCTCTGGCACTCCTGCAACCCGAATCTAGGACGAGATCTGACCAGCAAAACTTGGACACCAACTGCGATCCTCACACCCATGCTCTTTGCACGTTTCCAGTCCCACTTAGATCGTCAACAGCGTGAAGACCAAGTCGGTTTCGTCCACGCCGATGGTCGACGACGCATTCTTCGTTTTGGAAACAAACTGTCCTAAGACGTTAAGAGTATGGCTAGTCGCTTTGGATGTTCACGAAAAGGCGTCGATTGCGAAGAGCGAAGATCACTCGATGCTGTTTGCAGCTCTCCTGGAGCAGATTGTTCCTCCTGAGAAGTTGCACTGGCAGACGTGATGTGAACCAGACAGGTCGGGGGCCTGGACAGCGTTTGTTTGACATTCCCTGCGGCGTCAACCAAGTCAATGTTGGTGTTGTGGTCGTTGCTCTTTAATGCTGGGCTGGAGAAGGCGGTTCATGACTTCAAGTCCCAGTGCCCCAAAAGCGGTTTGCGAGTTTGGGGGCCTGGCGGCCCCCAAAAAAACAGGAGCATCGATCCTCGAATCTCAACTCTCGGATCCCTGAAGGCCGGTGGTCCGTCGGAGAGGCTGGCCACGGCCGCGAAGGTCTCAATGCCTCCAGAAGCCTCCAGGAGGCCCCCTCAGAAGGGCAGAAGACACACAAACGCCTGAATACGCGATCCTCAGCATTTCTCGGCTGCGCTGCCTTGGCCGTGAGGCGGGGAGTTGTTCACACCCACCGTTTGGGAAGTCAATGTCCTGCGACTCCAGGGGACGGTGGATATGGATACATTTACGTAGGTCGGGCATGTCCTCCTACAGGCGGATTTTGGACGAAAAAAACAAAACTGCACAAAAGAAACCTCAAAAATGGTCAGAACAGAATCGAAACATCGTCCCCTGACTATTTTTGACAATATATGAATATTCCGCGTGTAGAGGGACGTGCCCGACTCGAGGATACAGTTGGGTCCCAGGGGGGCCGAGCATAAGCGTGTCCACCGCCTGCCGAGGTCCAGGAGGATCCGCTCCCCAGGCGGTGGATATGGATAGGTCCCAGCATCGGCTTGGTGTCCTCCTCCTCCTCCTCCTCCTCCTCCTCCACCTCTTCCTCCTCCTCCTCCTCCTCCTCATCCTCCCCCTCCTCCTCCTACTCCCCCTCCTCCTTCTCCTCCTCCTCCTCCTCCTCCTCCTCCTCCTCCTCCCCCTTCGCCTCCTTCTCCTCCTCCTCCTCCTCAACAGCATCCTCCTCCTCCTCCTTCTTCTCCTCCCCCTGCTTCTCCTCCTCCTCCACAAGTTGGCCCGCACTGGGCGATCGCTGGACATGAGGGAGACGATCATAGGGGGGGCAGCTCAGGGGGATCATCATCGAGCTGGAATCGGCAATGCATCGCCGATAGATCGCCGAAGAGCCCCCGATAGCGAACTCGCACGTCCTTGCGCGGGGTGGCCTGTCTGGCCACGATCGGCGATACCTGAGCGATTGGGTGGTCGATGCTTGGGTAAACTAAAGAAACTGAAGGCTAACCTCTGGAGGTCCGCGCGGTTTTCTGACGCCGCACCTGGCGCCATAAGGTGTTCGTGACGTCGACCCCCAGAGGCTTCGACCCATCCCCTGGAACCAGCGCTTCGTCCCGAGTCGCTCTTTCCTGGTCCCGAGGCCCGCGGTCAGGGCCCCCCCCGAGGCCGAACATAGCGAAAAACCTCCCGCCGTGGTGTGTGTTCATGACTCGAG